GTGTGTGTGTGTGTGTGTGTGTGTGTGTGTGTGTGTGTGTGTGTGTGTGTGTGTGTGTGTGTGTGTGTGTGTGTGTGTGTGTGTGTCTTTTGTGGATCGCTGGCACTTGAGTGCTTTCGCGCTATGGTAGCGTCGTTTTGTCGGTCCACCTTTGACCTTTGTCAGTTGGTCTCGTTTGAGCTCTCCTCCTCTACCGTATGCACTCTTTTGACTGCGTCTCAACAATTTCCCCATACTTCTTCGTCTAATTTTAACGCGAAACAACGGAATCTATTGCTTGGGCTCTATTACACATAAGTGAGAGGAATTTCAGCGCCAGAAGAAAGGTCCGAAAATTAGGAAGAAAAATAGTTAAGAGTGATTTTTCAACCCTTCAACACTTATACTCACGTATAAACACAGATGTGAATTCTTCATTCTCCATCCATCTTCGATGTTCACCGGTATCTAGCAATGGGTAAGGTTTTCTCAGTGATCAAGGTTACAACCTCCGGTCGTATTTTCACGAACGCTTCAGTTCTTAAACTGATCACCACAGTAATGACTGTGCAGCCTTCCTTTCCCACGATAATAGAAAACAGACTCAGTCTAATCTGTCAGTAAAGATTTGATCTTTTTCAATACGCTACATTTAAGCGTGGATCAGCAGTCATTCTTGATAATCTTTCAATTATTTCGATTGTTGTCTCAGAAATACCGCTCGATTCTGCACTACGTGAAGTAGGCTTAACTGTCGATTTCTAGAAAAGAACATTTCCTTTACTGCTCACTACACAGTTAACTGTCTTGCTTGTAGAGAACATCTTTTGCTTGTCCCCGTCTTGACTTCGGAGCAGCAGATATTTTTCTTCAGTGAAACACGTATCTCGACTTTATGTATAGAAATCCGCAGTAACTACGAAAAGCTTCGAAGTTGATTTTTTGTAAATGATTTTCACAGCTGTAATGAAAGTCTCAAATTTATGTCAAGTGCCCAGTGTTTTCTTTCGCAAATGTTTTAAGGACACATTTACTTCAGAATGCGGTTTGACATCTATTCTGTAATCATATGGCAGTGGCACTGTTTCGAATTGTACATACATTGTACGTGTGTGTGTATGGGCATATGTTGTATGTATGTATGTACGTATGTATGTATCTCTGTGTGTATATATGCGCATATCGGTGTATATGTCCGTATTTCGCTTCGTGTATGTTTGTGTGTGTGTGCCGGTGTGTGCATGTGTGTGTGTGTGTGCATGCATATGTACTTATGTATGTGAACGTATATTGGTGTGTATATGCCCGTGTGTGTGTACGTGTGTGTATGCTTGCGTGTGTATGTACATCTATGTGCAAGTACATGTGTGTTCATGTGCATGCTATGTGTCTGAGTGGGGGGCTGCCCTATCAAAAGATCGTCCCTTCACCTCCATCGCCTACTCTGGCTGCCTGTCGCGCTCCGCGGCCTACTGTGCTCTCTAACCCTCGAGTTAGCTGTTTTTATTTGATTTCGCTGACCCCGAGAGACGCAGCTCTGGCGCTCCACATTGGCACAGTGCCCCGATGTCCGCTGTCCTGGCGTTCTCGTTCGTCAAAACACTGACCGCCTCACTCGACTCCATGTCCTCGTAGCCCTCGTCGTTATCGTCTTTACTTACTTTCGTTTCCTGAATCCCGATTTCTTCTCCCATATCTTCGTCCTCTACCATTCTTCCTCGTCTCCTCAGTTCATCATCTTTATCCTTTGTAGAAAGTGTTCTGATTTTGCATCTTCCGTCAATAATAAGCATTGTTAATACCGCTTCCTTCTATCAAAACCAACCACAGGGTCCCTTTAGTTCGGTCTTTTTTCGTTTCCTTTATGGTTTTGGTTTCACGTCATCTTCTCCTAAACGCTTGTGTTTTAGGTACATCGTATAAGTCATATTGGGCAACTATCACTCTTCTGAACACATCCAGAAAGTCAGTGTGCACCTTATGAAAAGTTTCACTGTCAAATGAATGTATCTAGTCCCTATCTCGTTTCCGGTTTAGCTCGTATGTGATCATTCAATGTTGTTATATTTTTAGTGCTATATCAGTTTGGTCACATGTTTCATGAGAATACTTTGTTTGTCAATATTTCAAGAGGTGCACTTCTTCAAGGTTTTATTAATTTTTCATTCAATCTCATGCGAATGGCAGCTTCTCGACTTCCTCAACAGAATGGACATAAGCCGTCTTCACATAATTAAATAGTGTCAGAAGCAATGTATTAAGGTTCGACGAAGTGAAGCAGCGCTTAAGTCTACAACTTCAGCTAGTAGAGCCGGTCAACAGAGGATGATTATCATAAACACTCACAGTAAACAGACAATACACACTTTGGTATACTTTAATAAGCTCTTTGACATTTTGAAACGCTACCACTTTCACCATTTCCTTTCTCTGTCGTTTTTACAGCTATGAGCCCAGCAGTAGTTCTGATTCAATATTCATATGTTAGTAGTAATTCACATCTAGGTAATTCTATTCTCGGTTCACTCTCTTTTCTTCTCCTCTACCTGATAGGTCTCGCCTCATATTAATCCGTTTATCCAAACCCTTTTTTACTTAGCTGCCCATCCCGAGGTTTATCTCATCACTCTTACATTTGTTAGGTCGACGCCAAGCTACTGACATTTTTTGCGTGCCTTGCAAATTCTTAAAGCGTTATAATCGCTGAATTTCATCCTGCCATTAATAAACTCCGAATTTTCTAGCATTTTTTAAAAAAGATATCAGTGTTAATCAGTATAGAGAGCTTAAGTTCTTAACCTGGTGCTGTTGAATGGAAGCTAATGCTTAATTTCACCTTTAAATTTGGATGAATGGCCATCGGAACCATTTAAAAGTCAAATAATGGCTGAAGAGCAAGGACAAACATCATTGACGACACCGCTTCTGTGAATCCACATGTAAGCCCACTGGGCTGGTCAGTCCGGTGTTTTTTTTTTGTTCAGTGATTAAACATCTGTTGTAAACAGAAACTAGTACTTTGTTCCTATGCGGAGGAAATTCGGATGTAAGAAAAACGCCATGATTAGGATTTTTGGTGAGCTTTGAGCGGGCACCGAATTAGCCACCTCGTCAGTAGAGCCTCAGTGTCCTTGCTGATAAACGCTGTTCTCATTTGAAATAATGCCATAGCATTTCATGCCAAAACACGGGATTATTTTCAGTCCTAACCGGACTTTCTGTTCTGCGTTGAACTGCAGCAGAATTAAAAGGCGTCTTCTGAAAATGAGTAATTCTGCTGAAACTTCTTTATGCTCAAATTAGGCTCGCCCATCTCCCTCCATCTTTTAATGATTCTTTACGGCAAAACAAATACAGAAGTTTCTATTGGAATGTTAGTCTTCCTTTTTGATAAATGGCTGTTCATTTGGCACTTGCTCACTTCTATCAAAGTAAATATGCTTTAATCAGTTCTTATTCCTTCTCAATAAGATTTGCTTAAGAGAACACATCTGTTTCACAAAATTTATCATTTAATCACGCAGCATCTGAACTACGTCATCAGTCGGCTAAGCCACGCTTCACCTATCGTTATATATTTCCACTTAAAATATCCATTTCGGCTACAGCACTAGCAATTAGAGAGGCGCGAAATCCATTGCGTCGTCAATTAGCGTTTAAAAGGCACCCGTCGTCATCATTAAGTCGTTCGGCGGTTCCCATAACATCTACAGGTATTTATATTCAGCACAAGCTCGTTCTGTATGTGTGTGTGTGTGTTTGTGTGAAGACATTCAAATGAGAAAGAAACGGTGTGCAGCCGAAAAAGTGTGCGGCGGCCGCAGTCGGCGCGCACTTCCCCCAATGGCGTGCGCGGCGTTTGAATTCAGCAGTTCGTGGTCGCGCCACGCCCACTTCACGCGTCCACCACAGTTACGGTAGTGTAGAGGGCGTGCTCTTGAGCTCATCACTTCGCAGCACAGGTGTTGTGTTTACATCTATTTTTCATCTAGTGTTGTTTTATAGGGCTTCTGGAGAATTCCACCACACACATTCATTTCAGTAATGATTATGAATAGACATCTGCATTTCCATCAGCAATAATCTGTACTTCAATATGTCCACATAATTCCCTATGCATCAAAGAGACCGATCTCAGTGAATTAATGCCAACGGTTATACTTAGGGTTAATGTCTCTCGACTAGTGAAGGATTTAGTCGAGATTCTTTACCTTTGGCAGATCCGATGTTGTTTCCTTATACCTAAACACTTTTCCCAAACACCCAAATACTCAGTATCCTTATTTCTGTGTGTGAATGTTACGCTTAAATGTTCATTTACAAAAGTCCTAGCACTTCTAGTGCTGTATTTTTAATTACGAGTTGAACACGCACTTTAGGGATTCTTCTACAAATAATTTAACCTTCCATCTATCCTTTTCTCCTTGTTTGCTATACTGTTCTTCCTGGAGCTCTTATAGTATTCGAAATTTTATGGCAAATAATCATTTAACCCACTATAGGTATTAGTGGTGCGAATGTATGAGCACAGCGAACATTGATTCCACGGTTTTTTCCCTGACTTTCTCCGTAGAATTTTATAAATTCGTTTCGCAAACGAAAGTCAAGCTCGGTGTCGAATATGTTAGTTGCGTTATCCTAAGATATCTGTTAGAGTATCGGCTTACGATAGCTCTTTCCTTCCACCATAATAAACCGCTTTAAGCAATACATGTGCGCTATGATTGGTTGACATAGAGAGTACTGTATACTACGCTGTCATCTGTGTTTAGAAATACGTGAGTGATGATCTTTCACATGGCTTGTTTCTTAGCGGCTGAGCTTCATTAGAACTGACAAGGGTCATGACGGGAAGGACATGTATGAGTGTCTCATCTGCCTCGTATTCATAACCTCGTTATGTAAATTAGCCTCGCTAGAGACCTAGCCAAGGCGTTGAAGCACGGATTTCATGTAATAAGGGGAGCCTGAATTTCCGACTTGCCTCCATTGCTGCATCAACGCCCAGCATTCTTCAAGTTTATTATCGATGTCAACCAAACTATACCTGCTTAGTAGTGCTTGTTGTATTGCTGGATGTGAAATCCTTGCTATGTTTTTCTATACCATTTCTTCTAAACAGAGCTTACTAAGCAGTTATATTCAGAAAGACTTCTATAAACAATAATTCAGCTGAGTACAAAAATGTAGGTAGGAAAGAGCGCTATCGTATGTATATAAAGTGGTTTCTTCACGAGGCTGACAGCCCATATAGGATGACCTTGACCATGAACTTTAACTGATTGCTTTATTGACTTGTGAACCACAACTCAATTTCTGGTCCTCAGAATAAGTCATTGTTCTCGACTTTTTCTCGTCTTCAATGTTCCCCACTGAGTTCTTTATAAGAGTACATCTATCAGTTTCGAATTGAAAATGGCTTTCAGGTGTGCCAGGAAACGAGCCTCGTCGACGTTATTTTGCTGCTTCTTTTGCTTTGTGTTGTCCTGCGATGAGATGGACAGTTGAGTGTGGGTCAACCACCATATGTCGCGACCGGCCGTAGAGCAGAGCCATTTTTTAAGACGGAATGCGAGGGGGATGGACCAGAAACGGAGAGCGAGGGTGTTGGAGCGCCTGAGGAGAGGGCCAGCCCAGATCACTCTCACACTCAGTCTCTCCGAGAGAGTAGGAGTGCCAAAGGAGAGAATCAGTCAGCTCACTCTCATACACTCGCTCATTTCTTTGGTCCTCTTAATTGCTCTCCACACGGCGAGCTATTCAATCGATTATTAGCTCCTTTGGGGAACTTCCGTATGCCTTCTTCTCTGCTCTCATTATCCCCGACTTTCAAGCATTTTCTGGGAACTTCTGTTCTTCGGAAAGGAACTCTAATCAAGCACCAGCGACGAAACTTGCAAGACTGTTATAAGTTCTCTTCGTTCTTCCTTAAAATTTTAAATCTAGGCCTATTACGTGGATTTACTAGTCGTAGATTTCTTTGCCTAGATTTAATGCTAGAGCTAGAGATACATGAAGTGCTTAGTTATGCAGTTATTTGGTACTTGAATGGCCCGTCCTCACTGGTTGTGCGAACCTCATCATAATCTTCATTTTTCGGATATTTGCTGGTTAAGCCATTGTGGTTCCCTGGAGTTCCGAGGTCTGCCTGGCCAAAGTCTTCCCCACCACGACAGGCAGTGGCAGCTCTTGTGGATCAGAGGAAGATTTACCACCATGCGACTTTGATACCAGAATAGTGGTGGATCCTGGTATTGGTTATGCAGTTAATATTATTATATTCAGCCGTAACTTTGTGCGTGAAACGATGTTCACAAGACGCATGTTGCAGAACAGATGTCATAATGCGATAGGTCTACGACGAATTGATATGAATCAATTAACCAATCAAGCTATCGAAATCGAGCTAGCATTTCGTAATCGACAATGAAGTTGGTGTATAGACTCAGAGATGGGAAGGATATTTCTTCGGTGCAGTATTTCTGATAGGGTTTCGTAGCCCATAATAAAAAAGCAATCGTAATTATCGTTGAAATTGCTTTGTTTGTGTCGGTTTTTGAACGTCAGTTTGTCCAACGATAACAGAACTTTCGTAAGATGGGTTTCTGGTCTTTAGCAGAGGCAGAGTTCATACACAAAAAAATGTTTTTTACATGCCTTAATCATACTAAATTATCTATTCGATTGTGTTTGTCATTTGATGAGTAAATAT